CCTCCTGTTACCGCTCCAAACTGTTCGGATGGATTGTCCCAAATTGCAACGTTGGCCAGATCAATCGAAGACAAGCTGTCCTTGCACGTCAAGATGAAACGGGCAAAGGCGAGGAGGAAAGAACACGAACATACGAGGGGAACGGTGAGGAAGAAAAAGCAGGATATGCTAAACACTCAACACAGCTGGACTGACTGGTCGCACAAAACACCAGGAAATATCAATATTCGCTGGCGAGCGAGGGGGGGAAGTGAGAAGGAGAAGGCCTTGTCAAAGGCGGCGGGACTTCTCAGAAACCCTCGCGCCTTCTGACAGGTTCCTTCTGTCGTCGGGGAAAGCTCAAAACAACTTCTCAGAAGGCCAGGCGACTTCCGAGAATTCTGAGAAGGCCCACCCCCTCTCACCTCCCCCCCTCGCTCGCCGCCGAAAGCTGACCTGGCGGGGCCAGGGGAGGAGCCAGGGGAGGAACAAAGACCAATACGTGCGGCAGTATGCGCCGGAAGTGTGCACGTAAGGAAGCGTAGGGGGAGGAACGAGAGGGGGAGGCGAGCGAGGGAGCACCAGAGCAGAACAGGCCCCTTGCGTGCCTGGAGGAACCCATCCGTACGGTCTGTACTTATCGTCCGCGTGGACGCCGCGTTTGGCATGTCGGCACAAGGCGGGGGGGGAGGGAGGGAGGGAAGTTGGTAGGGGGCCACATGCAAACCCTTACCCTACCCCCACGATTTCTAAGGGGGAGGGTGGGGTTCACTTCGTTCGGGAGCTCCCTAGCGAAGTGTCGTCCGTGTGTGGACGCCGTGTGGCACACGTCGGCACAGGGCGGGGGTGGGGAGGGAGGGAAGTCGGGACACCCTGGCGTTAGGTCCGGCGTGTCCTCCTACCAGCGGATTTTGGACGACGAATAATAAAAATGGTCGCAACAAATAATCAAAAATACAAAAAATAATAATAGAACAATCGTCCCCAGACTGTTTTTTGACAATTTTTGAACATTCCTCCTGCAGACATGCCCGACTCAACCCTGGCGACGCGAGGGCATCCGGGAGAGCCGCCAGGGTCCAGGCAGGTCGTCGTCGATGATCACTATCGTCGCGGTCGCCTTCTCGCCGACCTCCACGCGGTACCCGGTGGCGTCGGCGCTGGTGGCCTCCCCGTCGGCGAGGAGGAGCTGCACGGGCCGAGCGGCGCAGGGCGGGAGGGGTGCGCGCGAGGAGCAGGAAGCGACGCCCCAAGAGAGCACATGAAGCGGAGGAGGACGGTCGAGAGGACCAAGGCTGGGCTAACGGCGACGTTGCTTAACGGTGATGTTGGGAACCAAAGTGTAGGAAATCACGAACCACACTACCCTCCATTTCCCATCTGCGAGTGCATCGAGCGAGCGCGACACAGCGAATTGTAGGAAAGCGCGAATCACGCGTTCTCACACTAGCGAAACCTACATCGCCGTTACCAACATCGCCGTTAGCCCGTCTACTGGAGGAGGAGAAGAGGGGAGTCAGAAGTGCAGCTGGGCTTCATTGGACGGGACACGCGAGAGGACAAAAGGCCCTTCCGAGGGTCACACTGCCACAGGAATGCGGGAGGCACGGGTCGCGAGACACAGGGCACAAAGGTGCCCTTGATTTGGCAGGGTCGACCTACTAATCCGGGCCGACTGTACAGCGGAGGCCAGTCCACAAGAAACCGTCCGCGAGAAGCCCAACCCTGAGGCCCAGGGCGTCCACCGATGTTTGGGCGTGGGAGCGTCGCGCTCTCCATGGCAGAAGCATCGAAACCCAAGCAACCCAGGGCACCCTGGAGGCAAGCGGGGTGTTTCTTGGCATGGGTCTCCACTGTATGTGGGAGAGGATGGCCGGGAGGAGGAGAAGACGATGAGCGGGTCGGGGGACACCAGCAACACTTTTCGCACAAGGGGTGGGAACCAGAAACTGAGGACGGAGATATACAACAGCATACGAACCCATGTGGACCCCAAACAACGATTTCCTGCCATATGTGCGGTGCAATCTGGGTGGTGCAATCAATGTGATACAATCTAGGTGGTACAAGTGCAAAGCAATGCAAATCAATGCAAAACAATGCAGAGCAATGCAGAGCAATGCAAGACAATGCAATTTGGTTGCAAGGCAAGGCACAGCAATGCAAAAACGTGCAACGCAGCGCAAAACCATGCAACGCAATGCAAATCAACGCAAGCAAAGCACAGCAACGCAGAGCAATGCAAAACAACGCAAGACAATGCAAAGCAATGCAATGTGATGCGAAGCAATGCAAAGCAACGCGATTCAAAGCAGCGCAATGCGAAGCAATGCAAAGCAACGCAATGCCATCGCAATGCCCTGCGACGCAGTGCGGCGCTATGCAAAGCAATGCAACAGCAACGCAGTACAAAGCATCGCAATGCACAGCAATGCAGCGTAAAGCAACACAAAACAGTACAACACAATGCAGAGCAATGCAGCACAACGCAACCAAAGCGGCGCAAAGCAATACGATGCCA